GCGCTGTAATGTTCTATGTTCTATGTTCTATTCATCCAAACACAAGGATTATTCCCTGTATCTATTTATCAACTGCCTCATACGTTTACATCATCCTTTAAATGGATGGCAGAGCTAGTTGTGAAACTGCTTCCATATGGAAACTATAGTCCACAGGAGCAATATACTATAGTTACTGGAATCCAGTGCTTTTTGATCTAATACTCACATATACTTGTATGGCCGAGAGTGCAATAGTCTTTGGCTGTTCCCATGTTGTATTCTCTGTAGAATTTACTGCCCGAGACAACGTCCTCAGAAAGTCTGAGCATCCATTCGTGTGCAAACATTTGCCTGATGATTGCATTTAAAATATGCCTCTCAGATTCAGCATCAGCCTTGTCTGCTTTTTGATTCCTAATTCTCAAAGCATTTAATGCAGCTGAGAGACAGTCATTTGAGGTACATCCAATGTGCATATGAAAGTCATTAACAGGATTAGGCACTGGTTGCTTCTTGTCTAATCTATAATACAGCTGACTGTTCTTCCATATCTTGCTAGTCTGGATACGTGGCCAAGTGACTGCTTGACATGTTGGAGGTGCTACAACAGCTTTCTTTGAAAGGCAGGTCCATTAATTAGTTTTCCTAAATGTATCCCAAGAGGCATATAGCATTCGTGATCTCTAACCATAATGTACGGGCCACACAACATGCATCTGCAGTATGCAGCTCCTTAATGCTCTTTATCCACATCATTAATCTCCAAAAGGTATTGTCTGTGGGTTGCTGCTGTACTTGTAATTGTGCCATGAATTATGCAGTTTAGTGTCCTGCTGCACAGCACTGGTTTGGCATCTTATTTGTATCTAACCAACTTTGCTATTTTTCCAGAACATGACCCATGAAACTCTATGTCCAGGAATAAAAACAAATTTGCTGGAAAAGCTCAGCAGGTCTGGCAGCATCTGTGAAGGAAGTAAGAGTTAACGTTTTGGGTCCGGTGACCCTTCCTCAGAACCGTTCTGAGGAAGGGTCACCGGACATGAAACATTAACTCTTTCTTCCTTCACAGATGCTGCCAGACCCTGAGCTTTTCCAGCAATTTTGTTTTTGTTCCCGATTTACAGCATCTGCAGTTCTTTTGGTTTTCTTATGTCCAGGAACTTTTTTTTCTATTCATTCATGGGATGTGGGACATGGCGGGGGCATCACCTGCTGGCCAGCACTTATTGCTTGTTCCTAGTTACCCTTGACAAGGTGGTGGTGAGCTGCTTTCTTGAACTGCTACAGACCACATGCTGTGGGTTGACCCACAATGCCATTAGGGAGGAAATTCCAGGACTTTGACCCCCAGCGACAGTGCTGGAATGGTGATATATTTCCAAGTCAGAAAGGTGAGTGGCTTAGAGGGGAACTTGCAGGTAGTGGTATTTCCATGTATCTGCTGCCCTTGTCTTTCTAGATGAAAGTGGTCATGAGTTTTGAAAGTGCTGTCTTTGGTGGATTTTTGCAGGGTATCTTTAGATAGTACACATTGCTGCTACTGAGTGTCAGAGGTAGAGGGAATGAAAATTTGTAGATGTGGTGCTAAACAAGCTGGCTGATTTGTCTTGGATGGTGTCAAGCTTCTTAAATGTTGTTGGAGCTGCACCCAAACAGGCAAGTGGGGAGTAGTCCATCACACTCACGACTAATGCCTTGTAGATGGTGGACAGGCTTTGGGGGGCCAGCAAGTAAGTTATTCGCCTCTGTATTCCTAGCCTCTGACTGGCTCTTGTAGCCACTGCATTTATGTGGTGAATCCAGTTGAGTTCTTGGTCAGCGGTAACCCCAAGAATGTTTATAGTGGGGGAATTCAGTGATGGTAACACCATTGAATGTCATGGGGCAATGGTTAGATTGTTTCTTAATTGTCATTGCCTAGTATTTGTGTAGCACGAATGTTACTTGCCACTTGTCAGTCCAAGCCTGGATACTGTCCTGAGGAACTCCTGCAGAGATGTCCTGGAGCTGAGATGACTGACCTCCAACAACCACAACCGTCTTCCTATATGGCAGGTATGATTCCAACCAGCAGAGAGTCTGCCCCAATCCCATTGATTCCAGTTTTGCTAGGGCTCCTTGATGTCAAGGGCTATGACTCTAGCCTCACCTTTGGAATTCAGCTCTGCTGTCCATGTTTGAACCAAGGCTGTAATGAGGTCAGGAGCTGAGTGGCCCTGGCGGAACCTAAACTGGGCGTCACTGAGCAGGTTATTGTTGAGCAGGTGCTGCTTGATAGCACTGTTACTGACACCTTACATCACTTTACTGATGATTGAGAATAGACTGATGGGGAAGTAAATGGCAGGGTTAGATTTGTCCTGCTTTGTGTGTGCAGGACGTGTCTGGGCAATTTTCCACATTGTCAGGTAGATGCCAGTGTTGTAACTGTACTGGAAGAACTTGGTTAGGGAAGCGACAAGTTCAGGAGCGCAATTCTTCAGAATATTGCCAGAATGTTGTCAGGGCCCATAGCCTTTGCATTTTCAGTGCCTCCAACTGTTTTTTGATATCATGGAGTGAATTGAATTGGCTGAAGTCTGGTAGCTGTAATGCTAGAGACCACTGGAGGAGTCCAAGATGGATCATCCACTCAGCACTTCTGGCTGAAGATTGCTGCAAATCCTTCAGCTTTATCTTTTGCACTGATGGGCTGGGCTCTTCCATCATTGAGGATAGGGATATTTGTGGAGCCTCCTCCTCCAGTGTGTTGTTTAATCATCCACCATCATTCACAACGGGATGTGACAGGACTGCAGAGCTTAAATCTGATCCATTGGTTGTGGGTTTGCTTAGCTCTGTCTATCACTTGCTGCTTATTCTGTTTAGTAGATTCATCAGATTGACACCTCATCTTCAGGTATGCCTGGTGATGCTCCTGGCATGCCCTCCAGCATTTTCCATTGAACCAGGGTTGATCCCCAGGCTTAATGATTCTGGTTGAGTGGGGGATATGCCAGGCCATGAGGTTGCAGGTCATGTTGGAGCACAATTCTGCTGCTGTTGATGGCCCATAGTGCCTCAAGGATACCCCGTCTTGAGTTGCTAGACCTGTACCATTTAGCATGGTGATAGTGCCACACAATATGATGGAGGGTATTCTCAATGTGAAGGTGGGACTTTGTCTCCACAGATGCTGTGTGGTGGTCACTCTTAACAATACTGTCATGGACAAATGCATCTGCAGCCAGAAAATGAGTAAGGATGAAGTTAAGTATGTTTTTCCTCCTATTGGTTCCCTCATCATCTGTCACAGACTATGTCCTTTAGGGCCTGACCAGCTCAATCAGTGCTGATGCCAAGCCATTCTTGGCAGTGGATATTGAAATCCCCCTCTCAGAGTAAATTTTGCGCCTTTGCAAGTGTTGTTCAACATGGAGGAGCACTGCTTTATTAGTGGAGGGAGGGCAGTTTGTGGTAACCAGCAGGAGGTTTCCTTGCCTGTATTTGACCTGCAGCCATGAGACTTCATGGGGTCTGGAGTCAATGTTGAGGACTCCCAGAGGAACACCCTCCTGACTGTATACCACCTCTGTTGGGTCTGTTCTGATGATAGGACAGAACACATCCAGGGATGGTGACGGTGGTGTCTGGGACAGTCATACTCATGGAATCCTACCTTACAATGTCAGGCTGTTGCTTGACTAGTCTGTGAGACAGCTCTCCCATTTTTGGCACTAGCCCCCAGATGTCCGTAAAGAGGGCTTTGCAGGGTCGACAGGGCTATTTCTGCCATTGTCTTTCCAGTGCCTAGGTCGATGCCAGGTGGTCCATATGGTTTCATTTATTTTTAGATACTTTTAGCAATTGGTACAACTGAGCAGCTTGTTCAGCCATTTAGGGGTCAGTTGAGCATCAATCACATTGCTGTGGGTCTAGAGTGACATGTAGGCCAGACCATGTGAGGATGGCAGATTTCTTTCCCTGAAGGACATCAGTGAACCAGATGGGTTTTCTGACAATCGACAATGATTTCATAGTCATCAGTAGATTCTTTATTCTGTTTTTTTTTAGTTGAATTTAAATTCCACCATCTGCCATGGCGTGATTTGAACCTGGGTCCCTAGATGACCAGCTGATTTCTGGGTTAACAGTCTAACGATAATACCACTGGACTATTCCCTCCTCTAAACTCTATGGCTGGAATCTTCTGCTGCTCCCAGGAGTAGGAAGAATGTTGAGCAGGGGGCCAACACTCAGATTGTCAACAGTGGGATGGACTCCTCCAGTTAAGTTCACAGAACTTAAGTGAGCTAAAGGAGGTTAAGGAGGCCGGTGTCGCAAAGACCTTTTGCATGAATGTAAAAGGCATGCATCCTCTCCAACTTGCAAGTGCTGCAAATGTTTGAGTCACCTCAATGAATGTAGGCCTGGCTTGATGCAGACAGGGGATACCCATGGAGGACCTGGCTCAAGACACCAGTTAGACATCTGCAAAATACTACCGTGGAGAGGTATAATGCAGACCATCCCACAACAAGGACAACAAGAGAGTCTGTCAAAATGAGGCTCTGCTGCTTCGACTGCTCAGGTGGAGCACTTCAATATTCACCACATGGAGCGTCCAGGATTAGTGTGGCTTTCTGAAATCTGCACAACTTCATTCACCAAAGGGAGGGATGTATCAGCAGAGGAAGAGATGGAGGAACCAAATACCTCCTCAGAGAAGGTAGGAATGAGAAGATGACAACAAAGATGATAAGGGCCTGGATGTTGTGGAGGCTGGGCCAGAACCCAAGGCAATGTTGCAACAGGCAGATAGTCCTGTGACCAACTCATTACCACAGATTCCAAGCCCAGTGAGAATCAATCCAAATTCTGCAAACAATTGCTTTTAATCCTCTGATGGCTGGAAGCCCCCTTGGGCAAGGGCATTGTTGTTAATTTTCAGTTCTCTAATGTTCCAGTGACTGCATTAAAAATTGCCATTGTCCATAAAATCTGCTACAATTGTGATAATCTCTAATGAAAAGCATTCAATTTGTGTGAATACTTTGCTCGTACAGGACCGTGTCTGCAGAGCCAGTCAAAGCACTATAATACCCGCACAGCACAGCATACTCATTTAAACACAAGCAATTGGAAGGAGAAATGATGCAGCCGCCAGCCTCAGGTGCACACTACATTGAAGCCACATGCACTCCTAGATCATTACATATGCACTCACATCTTCCTGACGCCTACTGCCAATGAGGAAGGTGTCTTATGATGAAATCTATCATGTGTAATTGCAAAATAGGGCATAGGAATTAGCAGCAAGGGTACGCCATTAGACACCTGGAGCCTGGTCTGCCATTTACCTAGATCATCACTCATCTTCAATCTCAACATCATTTTGTCACATTATCCATAGATCCCTTGATATCTTTAAAATGCTGAATCTGTCCAACTCTATCTTGAAAATACCCAACTACTGAACCCCCACAGTCCTCTGGGGCAAAGCTTCCCAAAGGTTAATTGTGCTCTAAATGAATATATTCCTCCTTTCCTCCTCATCTCAGTCCAGCATGGCCTACTTCTTACTCCGAGTCTCTGTCACCTGGTTATAGACAAAAGTACCAAGCTGCCAGCCACCAACCCAAGTCAGGGGAAATATAGTTCCTATATCCACCCATAGAGCCTTGGAATAATTTTGTATGGTTCACTGGTATGACGTCTCATTGTTCTAAACTCCAGAGAATACAATACGTTCAATTTTTACTCTTAGGACCATCCCACCATTCTTGCAAGTAATCTGGGTAAGATTGGTTACACTTCCTCTATGGCAAGCATATCTTCCCTTGGGTCAGCAGGCCACCACTGCAAACAAACATGCAAGTGTGGTTATACAGGCACTAACCAACTACAGCATTCTCAATTCTGCACTCAATTTCTCTTGGAATAAAGGCCATCAAACCATTTGACTTCCTAACTGCATCTGAAAAGCACCATCAGTGGCTTCTGAACAAGGGCAACCAAGTCCCTTTAGACATCAACACTTCATAATCTCTCATCATTTGTATTTCTCCATATCTTGCATTTCTGTTGGACTTACCCACGTGGAAACCTTCACATTTTCCATTCTACCTTGTCTTTGTCATGGTCTTGCACACTCAGTTATCTTGTCAACAGTCCTTGGCAGCTCTCTGCATAATTCTTAGAACAGTGTTAACCACTAAGCCACAGTGCCACCCCTCAGTTAACTAAGATATCAGTTAACCTTTCAGGTGCTTGAACTTTAGTAAAGCCTTTGCCAAGGTTCCACATGGTAGACTAATTAGTAAAATTAGACCACATGGGATCCAAGGTGAGCTTGCCAATCCGATACAAAATTGGCTTAACATTAGGAGACATAATGATGGTGGAGGGTTGTTTTTGGAATGGAGACCTATGATCTGTGGTGTTCCACAGGGATCGGTCCACTGTTGTTTGTCATTTACATAAACAATTTAAATGCGAATATGGTTAGTAAGTTTGCGGATGACACCAAGATTGGTGGTATAATGGACAGTGAAGAAGGTTATCTAAGGTTACAAAGAGATCTTGATCAATTGGGTCAGTGGGCTGAAGAGTGGCAGTTTAATTTGGATAAATAATTGGATAATAATGATATTTAATTTGGATAAATGCGAGGTATTGCGTTTTGGTAAAACAAACAAGGACAGGACTTTTACAATTAAAAGTAGGGCCTTGTTGTAGCGTTGTAAAACAGAGAGACCTAGGGGTTCAGGTCCATAATTCTTTGAAGTTTGCATCACATATGGATAGGGTAATTAAGAAGGCATTTAGCATGCTTGCCTTCACTGCTCAGACCTTTGAGTCTCTACATCTACGTGTGCACAATCCAACTCCTTCCTGCCAGTGCCATTGCCTCCTCCTCAAAGAGAATCCTAATCAACAACAAAAACAGAAATTGCTAGAAAACCTCAGGAGGTCTGGCAGTATTTATGGAGAGAAAACAGAAGTAATGTTTTGGGTCCAGGATTCTAATGTTTGGCACTCTTTTGCCAATCTGCAAATGCTCGCTCCAACTGTGTGCATTGATCATTCTGGTCGCCTGCAGGAGAACAATCATCATCTCACAGGGTGCTTGAGCAGTTTATGAACATTCATACCTATGACTGCACTTCCTTGGTAATTGACTAACAACCACACTGTCCTAGAATAGGTGGAAATTGACAGCATGAGGTGGCTGGAGTACATTCAGTCCACATAATCCATCTGGTACTAAGGCTTGCAGTCAATCCTCCTGTCTGGCACACTCAACAAATCACATAATTATATTGCTGATGCCCTTATGAGTGTCATTTTGCATTGATCATATAGCATTCCTTAACTTTGTGGAGCACAGGAAATTGTGCATCTGTCCACAACACTGCAGCCAGGTGCTGGAGCGGGCCCCATCGCCACTAATTTGTGCTGTGATCTCCATTCATGCTGACATGGTACAACAGGAGGTCATCACCTATTTCTGTGCAGCCTAGAGTCTGCAATGAGGTGTCGGTCAACTGTGAGGACATTCTATCTGGACTGAGAACCCCCAATGTCAGGCGAGCGAACCACCCAAAAGCTAATGTCATGCTTCTGGCTGGCAACAAGTAAATCCCCATCTAGGTGCCCTATAAATATGGCGCCAAGATCCCCTGAGGAAACAACAGGGGTGCTGACTTCTGCTCACTCCCCCGTTCGAAGATGTGCCAAGCTACTCATGCAAACACATCTAATGAGCTGACTATGATGCAACTGCATGAGAAAAGCCAACCTAGTCTCAAAGCAGAAATGACACTTCAACACCCAAGTTAAACTTATACTGCGTGACATATATTCCACCCAATAAATGCAGGTAACATACAATACACTTAGTGTATACCCCATATTTATATATAGTATATATTAGACCATTTGTCAATATTAATGTATGTCGATACTTCATCTGGACCAAAAACCTCAAATATCACTTTTTTATAAACTGTGTCAATTCACATTTATGACCTGATTATATACTCTCTGAATTTACTTCATTTTTCTTTACACCTTCATCTGCAAACATGGTTTTTGCCATGTGTGTTCAGGTTATTTTGATCTGCTTACATAGCAGTCAGAGCAAAACATGAATAAGAGTAATTTGACAGGTGACAAAATAATTATTAACCTGTATCCATGATCATGTATTAAATGTGAAGATGAAATGTAACAAAATAAATAATTCAAACGTCATATATGGAGTAATAATTTGTTCAAGAGAACATTTAAGAACTGAAATCTCTGATTTATTCATCAGCACATTTCTATAAATTGACTATATGCCTCTTAGTATATTTCATTCATGTTTCAGAGTCATCACTGTACTTAACTATCACGACAAGACCCTCATATTCCTTTGCACACCACAAAAATACCTTTCTCTCCCCTGGCTGTGTTCTAAAAGTCATTTTTAGAGGTCTTCTTTAGCATCCAAAATAGCGATGGACACTGACTTTAATCATCTGTCAAGGTATTCGACTTTAAATCATATTCATGAAATGGGTCGGTCAAAATGTAAACCAAGTTAACAAATCAATGAGAATATGGAAGTTCTGTTGAGCTTTTTTTAAGACATCTCAGCTTGACTGACCGGAGCTTCACGATTTAAGTGATAATAAACCCACTAAGAAAAAGAAAATCACATACATGCAATGAGAAGGATGCTACAATGGAAATTCTCAGTCCAATTTGACAAATCTATGTTCCATAGAAAGAAGACATCAATATTATTTGTTTAAATGTTGGAGATGCAGCAAATACTGATCGAGGCTGTTTATTTTTTGCATTTAGCACATCTGACACTGACCTTGTTACACTTGCCGAGATCAATAACTCCACACAACTTGTTATTGGAAGCAAGTAACTCCTCAAGGCAGGGCAACATATTCACAGCCTAGATAAAAACATAATGCACTTAATATCCCTCAGTGAAATTCCACTTCTACTGCATGGCAGAATATGTTAATGAAGTTACATTAACTCTTGTTCTTATCCTAGATCAGTCCAAATCAAACCGGAAATTTCTCATGCTGCATGCAAACAATTTAATTTACCTTAATATATTTTTCCATTACGCTTTCCCACTTACAATTATTCACATTAGGTTTATCTGAAAGAGGTTGTCAAGCTAATATGTCAGCGCTGAGCAGCACTACATTCTTCTATTGCAGGAATCTTGGTAAGGAAGAGAGTGATAAACACGTTGGTGTGGATTCACACCACAAGGTGTGTGGCAAGCATGTGAAGAAAGCTGCTGAAGGACTCTATAAAAAAAGGTGAAGATGTAGTCTAAGATTTCAATCGAGGAAGACAAGAAGTCAGATACAGATAACAGGGTAGAGTAAGGTTTTTTTTTAAAAATTAAAGTTAATTAGTATCAGGAGAGAATATTCAAGCTTGGTGGCTAACCAGGTATAGGGTTGAAAACTCAGCTCCAGTCCAAGTAGGATGCCAAGTCAGTACATCTTGGATTTAGTCAAGGGGCAACCCAAATGCTAATAAATTCCAGTTAGGTCTCTGAGGAGCAGTCAATGTACTCAACCAGTTATCAAAAGCAAATTATACCAGGGGAATAATCCTTTGCCCCATTTTCCCAGACCCCCTGTAACTGTTGCAATCTTCCTTACAGTGATGTCAGTTAACTGGTTATGACTGATATCCAAAGCCGTCAGTTGGTATAGTCCTGAAAGCTCTCGGGATTCCACACAGATCAAGCGGTTGCTGTCCAGCCTCAATCGCTGTAATTTACGGAGTCTGAGGAGACCTTTCCCTAAACATAATAAAGAAAAGTTAACAAATACCATTTCACAATTGGTACTGGGCTGCAGTCAATCATGGCTTTAATGTAACTGGTACATTTGCACTCATAAAAATGCTCAAGTCTCCCTCAATAGTTTAACAATACATTAGTTGCCTGGTATGGTGCTGAGTCAGACTACCAATAGGTAGCAAGCTTTAAACAAACACAAAGAATGCTGGAAAAACTCAGCAGGTCTGGCAACACCTGTGGAGGCAGAAACAGAGTTAACACTGAGTGAAGTATGTCTCTTATTCAGAACTAAAGGAGAACTTTGTGCGGTCTCCGTTATATTGGCGAGTCCAAATACAGAGCGGATGACTATTTTGTGGAATATCTCCATTCTGTCCATAGGAATGACCTTGACCTCCAAGTTGCTTGTTATTTCAATAAACCACCTTGCTCTCATGTTAACATTTCTGTCCTGGGCTTGCTACAATCTTCAAACCCATGCTCAAGGAACAACAGCTCACTGCTTAGGCACTCTGCAGCCTTGAGGTTTCAATACTGAATTCCATAATTTCAGAAACTGACTGCATCATGTCTGTTCTCCATTTTTTTACACTCTCCTCCCCGCTCACCCTAGCCTTGTCTTGATTATTTTGCTTATTGCTCTTCATAGAGAGGACCCATTCACTTCCTTTTACACCTTAATATATATCCATTTTATAGCTCTTTTTCTCTTTCACCAGCATTAACAACCTCCTTATCTTTTGCACTGGACCTCAACACAAGGAGCTCTTGTTCCTCCTCCACCTCTGTCAAAAGTATATATAAAAAATGGAGTCATACTGGACTCAAAACATTATCTCTGTTTCTCTCTCCACAGATGCTGCCAGATCTATTGAATTTCTCCGTTATTCTGTGTGTTTGATTCAGATCTCCAGATTCTGTAGTATTTTGTTTTTAATTGCATTTCTGTAGTGTCTTTCAGGACTTCAGACAATTATCAATTGCTTTAAAGCCAATCAAATACTTTTTGATGCGTAGTCAATATTATAAGAAACGCAAATGTCAATTTGTGCACAGCAACGTCATGCATACAGCAATGATGTATTGACTAGATGATTTGTTTCTCACAACTTTGGTTGAGGAATGAAGCAGAGAGGGCTTAGACTTTGATTTCATGTCTCTTCTAAAAAAATGGAACCTCTGAAAGTGCCACATCCTCTCACGACTGTGCTAGAGTGTCAGCCTGGATTATGCACACAGTTCTCTGCAGTGAAGCATGAACCAACCACCTCCTAACTCAGAAGTGAGAGTACTGAGCAATGACTGACACCTTGGAACATTAAAGATGTCTAAAGATAGACAAAAGAGAGAGAGGACGAAAGTTAAACTAATTCTAGCTAGAATTTCCAACCCTGACTGCTATCTAATGACCCCTACTACGATGTGCATGTTATAAGAAGAACTAGTTCAACTGTGACTCATGCAGCTTGCTGATATTCTTGCTTCTTCGTCTCACACATAAATAATGGTCACTTGGTTAAAGGTTTCCCATGCATCTTCAGAAGAGGAGGGAAGTAAACATTAATTTTCCAGACTTGACATTTACATGCAAAGTTCCAAAGCAGCAAAATGCAGAACAGACCTTCTGTATTCCCTCTTTATAACAGCAGATCCCTGTAACATTATTGTATGACACTGCTGAAATAAATGGCTCTTAACATTACTAAATCTTGCATATGGATAGTGAATCAACAGCCCTGTTATAAATTCCATAATCAGTGGGCACTGCAAAGTTTCTGGCAGGCACAAATAACATGGTTTAGATCGATCAGTTCTTTCCTGTTTAAAATTAAATTTTATGTTTGAATTACCTTTATCATCCTGTTCACAAGTCTAATGACATTAAAGAAACCCAGCATCACCACTGAAGGTCAATTTAAAACAGACAACACTCTTGTCTTTTATAGGTTTTTTTTATGAAGCAAAACCATCCTCTCATTGTTTCTTTCATCTATTGTCTTTAGTGAGTGGCAAATCAATAACTCAAAGGGCATAATTTCCCAAAATGTATATTATGCATGCCCTGGGATAGGGGCATCCGTGTAACTATTCTCCCAAAGAAACATGCCAGCTCCAAATATAGGGATCCACATGGTTTTTTTGTTCAACGACACCAGAAGAAAGATGGGTAAACTGAAACCACCGAACAGTCTATTCAGAATAAGGACTGCACTGCTCCTTTTCACAGCTACAGGAAGAGTGAAAGAGACAGACTTTTTGAAAAGCAGTACATTTAACATCAAAATGCCATATTCTGCAGAAACAGCAGGACTTCACCTTCCATTTCACTCGTGAACATGCTGCATTTATTTAACCCATTAGTATGTGTTAAGTGACTATACATAACATATTCCATAGACTTTTTCTCCCCTAGAATATAGTTAATATTTCATGGATTTCAATTGAGTATTCAATTTGTATAATGACCTGGCATTTCCACTTGGTTTCACTGATGTTTTTGATACAATTCATTATAAATTGGTTAAACTAGCAGAAAAAGTCAAGGTAAACTGAGTTTTGGGTTAGTTTAAAACATTAGGGTTAGTTTCAAAGATTATCCTGTGCAAGTTGTAACCACTTATAATTCTATCTGAATGATTCACCATAGCGAGTTTCTGCTAATTGAACCTTTTTGTGGGCCTTCTAAGAGGCTCTACAAATTGAATTTCTTCTAGACACAAGTTCACTTATGGGACTGTAGCTGATAATGTAAATCTAATTTAAAAGTTGTACCAATCCTCCTCTTTTGGGCCCCCCTTTCAAATCCTGAAGAACCATGACAAGTCTCACTTACTTAAACTTGTGATATTATTAAACTGCAACTGGAGAACTTGAAGCTCTTGCAACCTTTAAATAAAAGATGAGGTAATGAAGAACAGTCATAATTATAAATGGAGCTGCTAAAATCAGATTTTCATGGTAAATCACAGAAATAATAATTGTCATATTGCCATACATTCCTAGGCTAGTCTCTGATCTACATTCAAATAGTACAGCAGTAGGAGGTGCTAATACATGGTACAGTATAGCTATTCAATATAAGTACAACATTGTGCAATGTAATTTGCCAGAGGTCAGCTACTAAAACGGAGAATAGATCACAGCAATGGTATATCCTATTCACTCCAAGATCCCAATACACTAATCTGCACCACGTTCTTCATTCCTGAATCCAAATTTTATTAAAATCGAGCCTTACTACATTCTTGTCCAAAAATGTAAGATTTCAAGACTGGAGCACCTCATCTCCTCCTTATCATTTCCCTGTTCAAGCTTCAAAGTTTAAAAATATAAGTTTAACATGACTTAATCAGCATTTCCTAAATAAATAAAAAATCATTCTTGGGATGAGGGCATTGCCAGGAAGCTGGCAGTTACTGTCCTTCCCAAGTTACCCTGAGAAAAAATGACGAAATGCTCCTGAAACACTGGTGCTGGTTTCATACAACAGAATGGCTTGCTATGTCACTTCAGAGGTCAGTTAAGAGTCATCCACATTGATGTGGGGCTGGAGGCACATTGCAGTTATTTCTTGGACCTTCTCCAAGAGGGGCAATCCCAGTGTGCCAGCACTTGTCCAGGTGCACAGCAACCTCTCAAAGATGGCACAGGTGCAAAGGACGCCAGCCTTTCAGCGGATATCTTGTGAGTGGCCAGTTATACTTGGACAATGTGTGATAAGATGGGGATAGCGTCAGACGAGAGGGATGGCAGAGGGTGGTGTAGGTAGTTAGTGAGATAAGTTTGGTAAGATACAGTGAGCGCTGCAATAAAAACACTCCAATAACCTTGACATAACTTTTAGCTAGCCAAGAAAACATAAGAATCAGTCTATTGTGTCTCAGGCAACTAAGCAATAGCCTTCTACCTTTCCCAACCCCTGAAGATTACAATAGGTTTTTCCTACCAGCTTGGCTCAATTCCCTGCCTCCTGCATTCAACTGGACTGTATGACAGAGGACTGGAGGTTCAGATGCAGTCAGGGAGGTGTTCTTGTGGTGCCGGAAAGCCTACCATACCAGACATCAAACCTATTGTAAAGTTCAGGTCTTCTAATCAAAACCCTGGGTTGAAAGCATGCTTGCTGTTTCCAGTCAGTACTTACAGTCAGATATAGCTACACATAAAATTTGTTATTTATACCAGGTAGATTACCATCCCAGAGATTCTTTCACTGTGATGCAATTTATAGCCATTGGCCCCTGTTGTAAATAATTATGTATGAATTTACATAAGTCAGATACATTTGATTTTGAAACAGGCATTATTAGAGCACAGTTTGTTTTTATTTAATTCTTGAAAGACCATTCTTCATAGCAACACAGGCAAGCAAAGAAGTCAAATTAATTAATTAGAGGTTCCAAACAATTATAATATTTATCTTGCAATAAGTTAATCTTCATCAACACTCACCTGTCCAGATTCTTAATTTTCCTGATATTATTACCATATAGTTTAAGCTCTGTAATTTCATTATTATTGTCCAAATACTCAATTTCTTCTATTGAATTACAGGACAGGTCCAAAGTTTTTATTCCAGGCAACTGTAATAAAATAAATTGCAGGCTTTTTGAATGCACTCCATCCTTTGCATATAATTAAAACATTATTAATAACATTAAATGTTTTATCTGAGCCCGGTTTGAGAAAATTGAATGAGATTTTGCAACCTTTGCTGATGCACAATAACAATAATGTTTGCCAAAATAAATAGGGATTTCAGAAAATACTAGGTTTACTGTTGCATAAAGGGATGTCAAGAGCTTAAATTATTTACACTTGCTTGTCATAAACCAAAATTGGGAAGACTGGAGCAAATTTTTTTTCAGTTCTGCTTGAGTTTCCTGAGCTATTGGGTTCCATCCTCTTTTTAATCACATTCTGAAACCAAACCAATCTGTTTACAACCTTGGTGTCATTTTTGACCCAGAGATGAGATTCTGACCAAATATTTGCACAATCACGAAAATTGCCTATTTTCAGCTCTGTAACATTGCGCAACTTCATCTGTCTTAGCTTATTTGCTGCTGAAATTCTCATGCAAGCCTTTATTTAAACCTTTGGATCCACAATGGCTCCCACTCATGCAACATCTTGATTTTAAATTTAGCATCCTTAGTTGCAACACCTCCATGGCCTCAAGCCTCCTTACCTCTGTATTCTCCCCCAGTTCCTCAACCTTAATTTCTCCAATTCTAGCCTCTCATGCATTGTAGACCATCTGAGACAAAAAAAGCCATACCTCTTAAATGGGAGGCCCCTATTTTCAAACTGTGTTCCCTAGTTCTGGTCTCTCCCACAAGAGGGAAACACCCTTTCAGCATCTACTTTGTCAAGTCTCCTTAGGATCTTGCGTCTTAACTGTACCAAACTTGTGACTGAACAGCATTGAAATCAAGATAATTCTGAGGTTGCTTTATCTTGGATTATTTCTTCACACAGTAAACTGTGAGAATTTGAGAAATACATCAGCATGTCCCCTACATCTAAAATTGGGTAAGCCAAATGTTATTACAGCAGTACAGTTATGCTAAAATGGGCTTCTGTTGTACGTAAACAGCCAACTTGCACATTAAATGAATAGTGGTGCAAGGTTTTTGCAGTATGTCACGATGTATTATGTAACAGAATATGCTAACAAGGATTGTATCACCATTTTAGTGGCTTGCTTTAAATCAAATGTACAGTCTCCCACTGAGAATCAGAAAAGGAGAAAGTGCTCAATTTTACCATTTCTACTTCACTGCAGTTTAGCAAATTCAGCTCTTCACCTTCATTTTAAATTCAGGGAGATGTGGTCAAAAATTCCAAACATGCAGAAAATCATTTATTTATAAACTTCGATGTAAATTGTGCTCACGAGAGGATTGCTTTCACTGACAAGTTTTAGAAGGTCTGAATTAAGGAAATTTTATTGTCTCAAGACAACCTCCCCTCCTCCTCCATCCCAAGTCAACCCCATGCCTTCACTCCAATTCACCACGAACGAGACTGATATAAAATCATGCAGAGCAGGCCATTCAGCCCACACTCTGGGGACTCTGTGAGAATAGATTTTTTCATAGAGAATGACCCACCAAATGGATTATCATGAATGGAGAAAAGTAATCCAATGTTTCAATAAGTGAATTGTGCCCAGTGATTAAATAATGGGCCATTGATTACTTGTCTTGGGAAAGGATTGCCCTATGAGGAATGAAGATCTTCGAAAGCACCACACTTATTTCATGACTTTTAAAATAGACTTTATGAGCTGGAAAGTATAGTAATAGAATAGTAAATGCTTACCTTTTCAAACTTCTGTAGCTTTTTAATTCCTTTTCCATGTAGGTCTAATGTGTTGCCATTCCTACATCCATCCAACTTTTCTATCGAAAACTTGAAAAACAATTAAGAGCTAATTAATGGAATATCAATGTTCCCATCTGGGAGAAAATGTGGACATAGTGGAGTTGTTTTATTCATTCACGGGAAAAGGGCATCACTGACCAGGCAGCATTTATTGCCCATCCCTAATTGCCCAGAGCGCAGTTTAGAGTCAACCACATTACTGTGGGTCTAGAGTCACATGTAGGCCAGACCAGGTAAGGATGGCAATTTCCTTCCCTAAAGGACATTAGTGAACCAGATGGGTTTTTCCAACAATCAACAGTGGGTTCATGGTCATCATTAAGTTCTTAATTCCAGATATTTTGTTGAATTCAAATTGCACCATCTGCCGTGGCAGGATTCATACCTGGGTCCCCAGAACATTATCTGGGTGTCTGGATTAATAGTCCAGCGATAATACCTTTAGGCTATCGCCTCTCCACTGGCCTTTTATTCTACGATGAGAATTTGACTCTGACTGATTAAAAGCATGCACCCTGATTTCACTATAAAGATGGCAACTGAAACATGCTTAGGGGATTACAACATGTGTGTATCCCAAAGTATGAGAGTGCCCTTCTTGGCAATTTCACTCAGAGAAGCAGATGTCCTTTGCATAGTTGATAAGGGCATCCCAAGGGATAATGGCTGTTAGAATGCATTAGTTGGAGGGCAAGAGTGAAACAGCCATATGTATGTAACGATTGGGTATAGTTGTGTATGAGAGACAAAGAGAAAGAGATAAAATTTTAAGATTCTATTTACATCAGATTTTCACTTATTTCACTTACTTGAAATGGTATTGCTGCAGTATACTAACAAAAATACATCTTCTGATTATCCCAACAACAATGATACTGTTCTACTTTAAGGTCTTTCAGAAGTTAGGATAAGGGTGCTTTCAATTGCCCCAAATGTAGTGGATCATGAATTTCCTTATTCTTCACACTCCATGCCTCAGGAGAGAACAACAACAACTAATTTGGACTTTTCAGACTATCAGGTATGGGGGGGCAATGGGTGGAGGTAGGATTCGAGTCATAGAATCGTAGAGTCATACAGCACGGAAACACACCCTAGCTTTTCTAAAATAATAATTGATATTGAATTCCATTTCTTGAAGAAATGCTTCTATCATAGCTTAGAGCTCTTTCTTTTACTTTTGGCAATTGGGTTTGCATCCAATCTAGACTAATCAGATGAAAGTACACCCAGTATTCTAATTGCAAGGCACTTATGTGAAGTGTGCTCAGGAAGTCTCACGCTGTGTCCTGGGCACACGTCCACAGCACAAAACCACCTGTGATTTGGCAAATGTTGATGTCTCCATTCAAGGACTTGTGTGGAAAATGGATTTTCAATTTTTTGATGTTTAGTCTGTGTGGTGTTTTACAGCAAACCTCCAGGAGATCTTCCCTATAATGAGATGAGGATGACAGATCTATGGAAAGTTATGAAAGAAACTGAAACCAACAATTCCTTCACCACCATCTGTCCCTCCACCCCACAATGGGCTAATTCTGGCTGTCTTCCCAAAAAAGAATGAAATTTGTTACCAAGTTGAAATTTGTAAAACCTGCTGCAGCATGTTCAGACTTCATTAGTTAACTTTCAAAGAAAGACATTGCAGTTTTCCCACATACTGGAGGAAAGATTATATCAACACAGCTATGAATGAGCTCATCCACAGATTTACAGTTAATTCAACAAAGGAATAGTTCGACTCTTTGTTAAAGTGCCTGCAAAAAATGAATTTTCCTCAATTGCCATACTAACTCATCCCATGTTCCTGGCAGCAGGAAGAGGCTCCCCGGAATTTTCTTTTCTCTTAGTCATCAGTCCCTCTTAGTTGAGTATAACACACTTCATTCTCAGGTGACTGAAAAGTCCAATGTACGGCCTACACTCTCTATCACAGGTAGGCAGACAGTGGTCAGGGCTCTGGGAAAGAGGGTTGATGGGCTGCCACGCATTCCTTTCTTTGTTGATAGTTTGTTCTATAGTCAACCAATGAGGCTCAATTGTACCAATGCTTCCCAGATGCTTTCACTCCACTTTAAGTAGTCCTGGGACAGAATCTCCCACAGGTTGATGAACATGCTGCACATTTTTAAGGAAGTTTTCAGGGTGTCCTTGAAGCGTTTCCTCTCTCACCTGGGGCTTGCTAGCCAAAGCTCCGGGTATAGTGCTGGTTTCAAAAGTGTAGTGTCAGGCATGCAGATGATGTGCAGTGCCCAGCAGAGTTGATCAAAAATGGTCAATGCTGGGGATGTTGGCCTGAGTGAGAACACAGATATTGGTGCGCCTATGCCACTGGGTTTGAAGGATCTTGCGGAGGTAACGCTGGGTAGTACTTCTCCTGAGTTTGGAGGCACCTGCTGTGACAATACTATGGCTTTAAGAAGAGTATTTTGTCTTTTTTTTTAATGAAGAAAGGTTGAGACAAAGGTGAAGAGCAATCTGCTCAGAGCCAATAAAGTAAACAGCTTGTGAATCCTTGGGGTTTTTTTGAAAGTTGGAACAGTAGAAGCAGCCTGAATGGGTGGCGTCCAGCTCCGAAAGAACCAGGATGTTTAGTCTTATCTTTCTGCAGTTGCTGGACTCCTGAAGCTGGATGTGGAAGCTCTTAATCCTCTCTCTGTTACAGCTACAAGCTGGGCTTCTCTTCCTGCTGCTAGAATTGCATGTGAGACAATCTATTTTATTTGCCTTTGCCAAGGATATGTTTATGGAATGTTATAATATTGGAATAGTTAATTAGTAGTAGCTAATATATATCGTTATGCATTTCATCATTTACAGTTAAGCCAGTTCTTTTCTTTTCTTTTTATTTTGTCTGTATTTTAACTGTAGTGTAAAACCAAAGTGTGTTTTGGTTAAAGTCAAGTAGCTTCACCAATTGAATGGCATTTGGAATGCAATGCCTTACACTTACCTTTAAAATAGGATAAAGTTAGGGTCTGAACTATCTTATTAATATATCTTGAGAGATTTGGTCAGGTCCATAACACTGCTGTACATAGTCTACACCTCTGAGCCTTATAGTAGGAAAGGTATCATTACTGCTTTCTAGACCATGAGCTTGGTACAGTGATTGATATCCAGGTCTTCAAAAACTTTCTTCCTCAGGCAACCAAAGCCGCACTGACACTCTCAAGGAAGTGTTGAGTTAACAGTAGGGTGCAAAGATATTGAAATTCGTTCATATTGTCCAACGTCTCATCATGGATTTTGATACCTACAGCTGGGGGCCAAAAGTGGACTGTAATTGGAAAAAGTTCTTTGTCTAAAAATGGAATTTTTAGTGTTTGGCTCATGATCTCATATGTCTCATTGAAGGTGTTGACAATGGCTAGAATCTCAACCTTCAAGAATGCAGAGATGTAAGCATCGTCTACATATTGTAGTTCTGGCTTGCAGGTGATTGAGGGTGAACAGGTTCCTGTTTGCCTGTAGATGGGCTCCACTCAAGCAGGGTACTTGCTAAAGGTGAGGTGAAGCATTGCAGCAAGGACAATGAAGAAGTACTTTGGGGAAATGACATAGCCTTGCTTGACCATTGACCAAATTTGAATTGGGTCAGGGCATCCATTGCTTAGATTATGGCTTGCATATCATTGCACTGAAAGTGAAGGATGAAGACAAACTTGTGAAGGCAACTGAAACAAAGGACCCTCCATAATCCTTCACCGTTGACGGTGTCAAAGTTTTTTGTGAGGTCAAAGAAGGCCACATACAAAGTTTCCTGCATTTCTCTTACAGTTGTCAAGCAGTAAAGATCATATCTGATGTGCCCGTTAGAAGGTGAAATCTGCATTGTGACTCTGGAAAGAGCTCAGAGGGCGAAGGTAACTGGAGGGGACTCTTGCAATAACTTTCCCTGTGACTGACAGCAGGGAAATTCCTTTGATGTTACCACAGACTTGTTACCTTTCCTGAAGATGGTCACAATTATAGTATCTGAGTTCTCCTGACATGCTCTCTTCCTTCCAGATTTCCTAATTGGAAATTAGGTTATATACTCATGCTAATAATGTTTCTCTGCTTTATTTTAAGTGCTGGGCATGGATTCCATCTGCTCTTGATGCCTTGTTGCCTTTTAACTCTTAAATGACCTTTCCTACCTTGTATGAGGTTGTGCTGAGATGGCGACAAGTGTCATGCAGTGGTATAAAGTTAAGGACATTCACAGTGAAGACACAATTTATCAAGATAGATCTTCAAAATGTCCCGTTTAGTAAACACAGACTGCCTCCCTGTTCTTAATGAGCACCTCTCTGAGCTTAGCCAGCAGTAAGACCTGGGAATGGACTGTAGATAGTCTTGACGGTGCTAAAGATACCACCCACATTGCAGCTGGTGGCTAACTGCTGGATTGCATTTGCTTTCTCTACCCACCATCTGTTCTTTAGATAAAGGGACGTTGTTGGCACCTCAGTCTTTAGCTGTCTGTAAAAATAAGCCAGTGCTCAAGTTAGGTTTCTGCTCAGATTCAGAAATGCCTTATCAGCTGCTGGACTTTGTGTTCGTTCTCATTGAACCAGTCTTGGTTTTCTGACAGACTCACGGACCATCCTTCACAGGTGTTGATTGTGGAGGCCTTGAAGGCAGACCATGTGCTGTGAACATTCAGTATCTCCTTGTCAGGTTGACAGTGAGACGCTGGATAAATCGGGTTCCCTTGTTAGTGTCTTTGTGTCCTCAGCACTGAATGCCCGGGGGAATGTTTCTGTTGCCAATGATGCTTCCGGGCAATATTGATGGTGACGACAAAATAAATCAGGTGGTGGTTATGCAACAGTCATGGCACATACACACGTCCTTGTGGTCCCTTGCTCAGATGATGACACAGTCGGGCAGATGCCGTTGCTTGGAGTGAGGGTGTTGCCATGACGCCTTGTACTTGCCTTTCAGATGAAACAAGGTGTAGATTAGGTACTTTGTCAGCAGCAGGATACTAGTGCTGTTGGATTTCCCTAGCCACTCCCTCACAACTACATTTCCTCAGAGATCTGTGTCAGTTTCCAACTCTGGTGCTGAAGTCATCAAGGAGGATCAGCCTGTCGCACTTTGGGACTCGAGCCACAGGCTATTGAGGTTGGTTTAAAATACCTCTTTAGATTTGTATATAGCATTCAACACTACAGAATACACACTGAGGAATGTAACATACTGGTTCTGACCAAGGGAGAACCGAGGGGTCATGATGTGTTCATTTATCCCACAAGGGGTGTCTCTGAAATTGCCAGCTAGTTTGTTCTTAATAGCAAACCCAATTCCATGATGGCAGCATTCTTCTTCTGATTTTCCTTTCCATAAGAAGTTGTGCCCAACACCTTGTTCCTGAACAGACCTTCCCCTGCCCACCAGGTCTTACTTACAGTGTAAAATCAATGTCAAAACCTCTGAGTTCCTGGTCAATGACAGCAGTGTGCAGTTCTAATCTGTCATGACTGAAGCCCAACTGACAGAATCTACTGTGGACTTCTCAAATAATAGTAGATGCTTAGTCCACAGCAGTATCTCACGTGTACTTTGACCAACTTAGCAATGCTCTAACCATAAGAACTTCATAAACAGAAGCAAACTGAAAACATCAATATACTGGTCTGCATTTTTCTATTCTGTCTCATGGGAACGTGAAAACCTGAAGCTGTGGTTATTTTTCTCAGTCATTATAGGTAAAACAAAATCTAGAATGCACCTTGTAATTATTTTAAATATAACTATCCAATACAGATGACATAGGCAAATAACAAACAATACTTAGAACTTGAATTCCTTTCTATTCTCTACGCTTCAAATCTTGAAAGCTAATTATAAAACTAAGAATAAATATATTTTAATGAATCAGATTGTTAAAATTCACTACTCTACTCAATATCATGCTCTCCAGATCAGATGAACAGCTTCGATCATTACTTTACCAATGAAGTATTGCTGGTGAGCTCCAATTGTCCAAGCTTTTGCCACTGAGGCAAATGAAATCCACCATAAACAACTTCACTAAGCAGAAAATAGCTAGATTTGGAACATACTGACATTACCATTCACCAGGACATTTCACAATTGTAATGTCAAATCTATTGTTTCTTTGCTCTTCTCTTCAACTGGAAGGATTCCACTCAAAGCACTGAGTGAGTTATAGGCTATCCTTTCTCTTTTATAATGTAATTGTCTAGATAAGAACTTGGAAAACACTTGTGAAAAATGTAAATGTGTTATAATCACACTAACCAGGTCATCTGAAGAAGCCTTGTTATTTGCTGTAACATCTTTAACAGAAGCATAAGGTTTTGCTTTGGAACAGATTGATTTTGCGACCTGAGTGCCTTGTAGTTTTTTCAATGTGGTCTGACACCTGGGGAATGTATAAATAATTTTATTTTGAAACAAAATATAAACAAGAATCTATACTATAATGTAATCAGCAATCCAAACATATTCTATTTCTCTATCTCAGTCTCCTAATCATCCAAATGCTCCTCTTGAGGACACTGACTTTGTAATTATATACTTTGGACATTTTACGTAGCCAATGCCAACCACATAGTTCTTTATCAGACAGTCACAGTTAAATCCTAAGGCAGTCAATAATTTTGGCGGTCAGAATAAAATCAACATGAACAGAACTTTGCTTAGTAGGCACCTAATCCACTACAGAAAAGCATTCACTTTTAACTCCCAGCAAAACTGAACATCCAACATTTTACGAATGTTATAATGCATTCTCCAAAGTTGTATTTTTACATGAACTAGTCCAAAGTTACTCCCAGGTACAAACAGGCTTGCTTCTTTCCATTATATTGAGTAATTATATTCAGTGTTTGTTGAAAGTCACCTCCCTCAGTCCTGCAAGAATCCCCAAACTAATTTCCAGCGGCACAGTCCACTTCAGCAACCCCTTTGCCTTGATGTGTCTGAGTGAACTTCTCAAAGTCATTGATCACAATGGGTCGCATATCTTAGATCAGAGAACAAACTCCCACCAGCATTCTGCTGCAGGCTCAAAACAGTGGATGCCCTAGCGGAGAACAGAAAGTCCAGGGAACTGCTTAAAAAATAAACTAGGAGAGCAAAGATGGGACATGATAAAACACTGATGGGTAACATTAAGGAAAATCCAAAGGCATTTTATAAGTATCTTAGGCAAGAGAATAATCAGGGAAAGTGTAGCGTTCATTAATGACCAAAGTGGCAATGTGTGGGGAGCCATAAGACATAGCTGAGATTTTAAAATGACTGCTTTGCATCTGTATTTACTGTAAAGAGAGGCAATGCCTGTATAGAAATCCAGGAGGGGGGGCCTGTGACATATTTGAACAAATTAGCTTTGAGAAGGAAGTGGTAGCGGGCTTGAAAGTAGATAAAACCACAGGCCCAGATGAAATCTATCCAAGGCAAAGGAGATGATTGTAGAAGTTTTGATGTTAATTTTCAAATCCTGTCTTGTCATAGGAGGTGTGCCAGAGCACTTGAGAGCAAGTAATGTGGTGCCATTGTTTTAGAAGGATGGTAGGGATAAACCAGGAAACTATATGGCAGTGACACTAACACTTGTGGTAGGGAAACTACTGTAAAAAGTTCTGACATTCAGAATTAATTTCTATTTGGGGAAACAAGGATTAATCAAGCATGGCTTTGTCATGGGGAGATCATGTCTAATAAATTTGGTTAAGGAGGTGAATTGGTAGATGAGATTTGTGCAGTTGATTTGTTTGTATAGATTTCAGTAAGGCTTTTGACATGGCAGACTGGTTAAGAAACTAAGAGCTGATGGGATCCAGCGCAATTTGGCGCTTCATGGCAGGAAGCAGAGATTGATGGCCGAAGGGTATTTTTGTGACTGGAAGCCTTTGTCCAGTGGCATACCACAAAGTTCAGTGCTGGGTCTCTTGCTTTTGTTGTATGCATTAATGATCTACACATCAATGTCAGAGGTATGATCAGCAAGTTCACAGATGACACGAAAATAGGTGGTGTGCTAAACAGCAAGGAAGAAAGTCTTAGAATACAGGATAATATAGACAGATGGTCAAGTGGGCTGAACAGTGCCAAAAGGAAGTTAATCCTGAAAAGTGTCAGGTGATGTATTTTGGGACAACTAACAAGGCAAGGCAGTACATGTTGAATAGTTGGACCCTAAGAAATACAGAGGATCAGTGGGACCTTGATGTGTATGTCCATAGATTCTTGAAGGCAGCAGGAGACAGGTAAATAAGGTGGTTAAGAAGGCAAATGGAATACTTGCCTTTATTAGTCAAGGCACTGAATACAAAAGTTGGAGGTTGTGATGGAGCAGTTGTATATAACACAGCTGGAGTACTGTGTGCTATTCTGGTCATCACACTATAGGAATGATGTGATTGAAGAGGGTGTAGAAGAGATTTACCAGTATGATGCCTGGGCTGAAGCAATTCAGCTATGAAGAGAGATTAGAGAGACTAGGGTTGATTTCCTTGGAGGAGAGAAAGCTGAGGGGGGTCTGATTGGGTTGTACAAAGTTCTGAGTGACATAGACAGGGTAGATAGAGGGGAACCCCTTTATCGGGGGAGGGGTTCAATGACCAAGGAGCACAGTTTTAAAATAAGGAGCAGGAGGTTTAGAGGGGATTTGAAGAAAATGTTTTTCACCCAGAGAGTTGTGGATGTCTGGCACTTACTGCCTAAAAGTGTGATAGAGGCAAGAACCGTCAAGACATTTAAGAGCTATTTAGATGAACACTTGAAACAACAGAGCAAACAAGTTTAAAGGCCAAGTGCTAGAAAAGGGATTAAAGTAGATGGGCACTTGATGACCAGCGCGGACACAATTATCTTCTTTCCATGCTGTGTAATCTCTATGACTCTAAGAAGTTCGATACCAACTAGAAGAAAGCAGCTCACTTGATTGGCACCCCATCAACCTTCAACACTCACTCCCTCCACCATCTACACACAGTAGCAGCAGCAACTTGCCAAGGCTTTTTCAATGCCTTCCAAATCCCCAGCCTCTACCATCGAGAACAATAAAAGCAACAGATGCATTAGAGCATCTCCACCTGCAGATTCCTCTCAACATTACACATCAACCAGACTTGGAACCACACTTCTGTTCCTTTCCTTTCACTAGGTCAAAATCCTGGAACTCCCTCCCTAACTGGTATACCCACGTCCCCATGGACTGCTGTGGTTCAAGAAGACAGCTCACCACCACCTTAAGGGCAATTAGACATCAGCAATAAATACTGACCTCACCAGCGACACCCATATCTCATTAATAAATATGGAAAGAAAACTTATTAACACAACCAAACACCCATGCTATACCCTCCACAGAACTGTAGCCTTTACAGGAAATGGTCTAAAGATACTAACAGCTTCCAATAAGCTGACCTTTTTGCCCAATTTCATCAAATCATGATGTCCAGTGTCCATCAAAAGTTGTTTGTACCCTGCCTGGTGTATAACATAGCACGGTTTTTCTGCCTTGCTGATCTCAATAGCTGTGTTTTCTCTCTTTCGCCAGGATATTCTCTCTCTTTCTGTCCAGGGATATCCAAGTCAGTACATATGCACCCTGAAAAGCCAACTACTCTTTTCTTATGCTCAGGTATAATGTCAACTTTATAATGCAAGGTGGTCATAACTTATATCTAAGCCAGCAGATTCTGAAAACCATTTTGTACTAAAGGCCAAATAAAAGCTTCCTGAGTTACAGAGTCATACAGTCATACAGCACAGAAATAGACCCTTCAGTCCAACTCGTCTGTGCCAACCAAACACCCCAATCTGACCTAGTCCTGTTTGCCAGCATTTGGCCCAGATCCCTCTAAACCCTTCCTATTCATATACCCATCTAGGTGACTTTTAAATGTTGTAATTGTACCCACCTCCACCAATTCCTCTGGCTGCTTATTCCATATATGCACGACCCTCTGTGTGATTGTGCCTCAGGTTCCTTTTAAACCTTTCCCCTCTCACCTCAAACCTGTGCCCTCTAATTTTGGACTCCCCCAATCCTAGGAAAAAGACCTTGGCTATTCACCCTATCCATGCCCCTCATGATTTTATAAGTCTCTATAAGGTCACCCCTCAGCCTCCTACGCTCCAGGGATAAATGCCCCAGCCTATTCAACCTCTTGCCATAACTCAAACCTTCCAGTCATTCTGAGATGTTATTAAGCCCATAGAATAACACAGATGATACTCAAAGTACGGTTTCAACACAGTCATTAGCCTTTCATTACGTCAACTAAGTGGTTATCTCAAGGTGCAAATGTCACAAATTTCATACATCTTTAGTTGACTTTCTCTGGAGCTCCTCATTCCCAGTACTCCAGGAATTGGACCTTGTGATCCCTAGACTCAGAGGCAAATACTTAATTTATCAGTAAGAAATCTAACAAGTGTGTTGGATACTGTGGTCTCAAACACAGAAAAGAAATGAGTAAAGAGAGACGAAAAGGTTGTGGGGGGGAAAGAGAGAGAGAAAGACTGTGTGTGTAAAACAGAAAAAAAGGAGATCTACAAACGTAAAACATTGAGATAAAATGTGATAAGAAAGATTTTGAATATATTATTATTTGGGAACTTGAATTCTGAATTAGGTAAATTTCATTTGGTTTTCATTTCTGTGAAGCAGACTTATGTTTTAAGAGGTTTAACTCTTATTTAAGCAGTAGTTCAAAATATTTCTAATAAATCACATGACTTAAGCCAAATGACTCAGTAAGCCACCTGGTGAGAAAAGTGCTGAAGTATTTACTAAATTGAACTTTTACAACCAGTATTTCCCTTTAAAGTCCTTACTGGCTGCAAGAACCTCTGAGGCGCGTGCATGGCAGCAACTTCTAGAACTATCAGCGTGCCGATACTGATCACCATGCATAGAACATCATAGCGGCTGTGCACATAGACTGCCACACAGCTTAGACAGAACATTGTAAATGACCCAGAGAAACAGAGGCCAGGGGCCAGGAGCAGATCGAGGTCAGAGGCAAAAGATACATACCAGTAGAAAGGGAGTTTAACTTTGACAATCCCAGGCCATCAGAACTGGAAGAAGTCCAAGTGGACTGGACTGGGAAAAGCCTGGAGTATTTTCTTAACATTCAGTGCGTCATGGAGAGTGAGTAAGAGAGAGAATCACATGTGGTTAATGTACACAAATCTGCCAAAAAGAAGTGTTTGTGACCTCATCAGTTGCAGAAGAAACTAAAGATTGAAGATAGTACTTAATACTACACTGGGATTGAATGTCTGTAAATATATTGCTGGGGGAAAGGCTTGAATCTCTCTTTTTTTCTGTTTATAATAAGATCTTTCCAACTTGTTCTATATGTAACTTTGATTTTCCCTATTCTTTTAGTAACTTATGTCACTTATTTTGTTTAAAGTACATTGGCAGCCCCATACGAATATGTTCAGTGATTGATCACCAAAATAACCAAATTGCAAAAACAAAACTTATTGTCTTTGAAGCCAGGTTTCACTCTGAGATCTGCCTCATCCAGGGTTACCATCAGCCTGGATCATAACAGCTGCAGACACAGTAAAAATATTGGCCATAATACATGGTACTGGCCGCAATATAGACTACTAAGCACTGACCAACGTACGTGGTACTGGCCAAAATACAGGGCACTGCCTATAATAATACAGGGAGCTAGCCAATGTGAATAGAGGATTGGCTAACCAATAAAAAACAGAGTTTAAAGAGGGAATATTCAGGATGGCAACATGTAACTAGTGAGCTGCTACAGGGGCCACAATCATTTCCCACATTGGTGCAACAAGAAGGCACAACAACACCTCTTCTTCCTCAGGTGGCTCAGGAAATTTGGCATGTCCATAGGGACCCTTAACAACTCCTACAGATGCACCATTGAACGCATACTGTCTGGCTACATAATGACCTGGTATGGCAACTGCTCTACCCAGAACCATAGGAAACTACAGATGGCTGTGCGCGCAATCCAGACCATCACAAAAGCCAACCTTCTTTCCATGGACTCTATTTACATGGCTCATTGCGGCCAAAAGGTTGCCAACATCAAAGACCCATCGTACCCCGGTAATGACCTCCTACAACCTCTTCCATCAGACAGAAAATACAGAAGCTTGAACGCATGCACCAGCAGTTTCAGGAACAGCTTCTTCCGGCTGTTATTAGACTGATGAATGGATTCTCAAGTAATGCTGATCTTGCTAATGTTGATTTCGCCTAGCACACGGCCTGTGCAATGTAACCTGTGTGCCTCCAAATTTTTTTTACAACCTTTGATCTGTACATCCTTGCTTACTATGATCTGTCTGTAATGCTCGTAAACAAAGCTTTTCATTGTACTTCGGTACATGTGACAATAAATCAATCAATATATATTAATGACTTGAATGACAGAATTGAAAGCATTATCGCCAAGTTTGCAGATAATGCAAAAGTAGATGGTAAAGCAAGTAGTGAGAATGACACAAAAAGTCGACAGAGGGAAACAGGCCAGTTAAGTAAGTGACCCATTTATGACAGAGATGAGAAGGGCTTTTTCTCTCAGAGGATAGTGAGTCATTAAGGAAAACAAGAGTTATGAGGATAAAGCAGGAAACCAGAGTTGGAGGATTATCAGATCAGCTACAATCTCATTGAATGGCAAAGCCAAATGGCCTACATCTGCTCTTACATCTTATAGTCTTATACAATAGGCTACCAAGTACCACCACAATACAGGGCATTTACCATAAAATAAAGTACAGAGCCACAACACTATGTATTGGCAATAATATATACCATTCACCATAATACATGGCACTAGACATAATAAATAGTTGTGACCATAATACATGCCAATGGCTATGTGTTGTATTGATTGTAATAAATGCCATTGGCCATGATACAGGGCACTAGTTATAATACAGGGCACTGAACACTTGGCCATAATACAAGGGACTGGGGACAATAATGGGTGAACCTGGGCAGCACGGTGGCACAATGGTTAGCACTGCTGCCTCACAGCACCAGGGACCCGGGTTCAATTCCAGCCTTGGGAGACTGTCTGTGTGGAGTTTGCACGTTCTCCCTGTGTCTGCGTGGGTTTCCTCCTGGTGCTCTGGTTTCCTCCCACAGTCCAAAGATGTGCAGGCTAGGTGGATTGGCCATGCTAAATTGCCCACAGTGTTCAGGGATGTGTAGATTAGGTGGGTTATAGGGGGATGGGTTTGGGTCGGTGTGGACTTGTTGGGCCGAAGGGCCTGTTTCCACACTGTAGGGATGCTATGATCTATAATAAAAAGCACTAGCCAAAATAAATGGCGTTGGCTAATGACCATAATAGAATAACACACAATGGCCACGACATAGGACACCAGCCATAATAAAAGGGTTTTGGCTACAATACAGGGACCGGCTATAAATGTATGCCATTGACCATAAAATAGGACACTAGACTCTGATCATAATACAGAATAGCAAGCATCAGCAATAACACTCGACGTTGTGGACACTTGCCATAATACACAGTACACAGTCCTAGGCACAATTTTACAGGACACCGGCCACAACACAAGACACTAGCCAATGCCTGTAATATTGGCCATAATATACACCATTGGCCACATTACATACCACTGCCTGTCATATAAGGCACAGGACACAATACTAGGCCCTGGCCATAATACCGGACACAGGCCAATTTCCGTTATAAAGGCCGTTCATTTCAATACAAGCCTCTCAACATGATACCGGACACCGGATCGGGATCCCGAGCTCTTGGCCTCTTACCCCAGGGCCGGCTCTTCTCTGACTTGACTCTTCGCCATGCCAGCCTGAGGCAACTCTCAGATCCGCCCCTTCCCTCCTACAGGAACCCGGGCCCTGCTGATTGTAGATGGAACCCGGGCCCGGCCGTTGCCTAGTAACGGCGGCGCGTCCCTAGTAACCGCCCCCAGGGGAAGGGACACGCGCCCACCGAACAGCTGCACAGTGCATGCCATCAATGCTAGCACCCCAGGATAGAGATATAACGAGTTATTCGCGACTTAAAGCATGCACTGTATACAATGCATCATATTTGAGCAAAAGCAAAGTACTGCGGATGTTGGAAATCTGAAACAAACGCAGAATGCTGGAACAAAAACAGAAGTTGCTGGAAAAGCTCAGCAGGTCTGGCAGCATCTGCGAAGAAAAAAAAAGAGTTAACGTTTCGGGTCCGGTGACCCTTCCCGAGAAGGGTCTTCTTCTGAGGAAGGGTCGTCGGACCCGAAACGTTAACTCTGATTTTTTTCTTCCCAGATCCTGCCAGACCTGCCGAGTTTCTTCAGCATTCTGTGTTGCATTATATTTGAGCAATGGGTTATAGTGCATTAAGCAGGAAAAAAATGATTTTCAACACCCCCAGTAGCTCTGGTGTGAAAGCCAAATCTGAAATGCTGGAATAAAACTGAAGGACAGGAATGGCAGGATTCAGCAACAATGAATGACAAGGGAAATTGTAAGCTTAGTCAAAAGGAAAAAAGGAAGCATAGAATAGGTCTAGGCAGCTACATACTGACAAACTGTTGAGAAGTACAGAGAAATTAGAAAAAAATTTAAACGCGGAATTAGGAAGGCGAAAAGAGGCCATGGATATATTATGCAAACAGGGTCAAGGAGAATTCCAAGGCTTTTTATGTATATATAATAGAAGAAAGAGGGTAGCAAGGGAAGGAGTAGGTCCACTTAAGGACAAAGGAAGGAAGTAATGCATGGAGCCATAGGAAGTGAGACAGATCCTTAATGAGTACTTTGTATCAGTATTCACCGAGGAGGAGGACATAACTGATGTTGAAGTCAGGGATGAGTGTATGAATACTCTAGAGAATGTCAATATATTGAAGAAGGACATTTTGGATATCCTAAAATTGCATGAAGATAGACAAGTCCCCAGGGCCAGATGGGATCTATCCGAGGTTACTGCGAGAGGCAAGGGAAGAAATAGCTGGGGCATTAGCAGATATCTTCATAACGTATTTAACCGTAGAGAAGGTTCCAGAAGACTGGAGATTAGCCAATGTTGTTCCCTTGTTTAAGAAAGGAAGCAGGGATAATCCAGGAAATTACAGGCCGACGAGCCTGATGTCTATATGGGGAAGCTCTTGGAAAAGATACTGAGGGACAAGATATATGCATATTTGGAAGAAAGTGGACTAGTTAATGATAGGCAACTCTCCCGCTCTACACTGAATTAAGATCAACAAACATAGTACAGGCTTGGAAATGAAACCTACGACCTTGCTGGTCTCTGTAATTCAGGTACACTCAGCAGCTCAGGTAGCAGTATTGGAAAAGGAAAATAGAGTGAACAATGGGATTTTTGTTCTGGGACGAGAAACAAAAGGATAATAAGAAACATATAAAGATAATGTCACTCATTGTGGTTCAATATCCACTCCGTATGGTTTTGTATGGGGAAAGTCATGTCTCATCAACCTGATTGAATTATTTGAAGAGGTGACAAAGATAATTGATGAGGGCAGGGCTGTGGATGTAGTTTACATGGACTTTAGTAAAGCATTTGATAAAGTCCCACGTGGCAGATTGGTACAAAAACTAAAATTGCATGGGATTCGGGGTGGACTGGCTAGATGGATGCAAAACAGGCTTGATCAAAGAAAACAGAGGTTAGTGGTGGAAAGGTATTTTTCATAATGGAGATCAGTAACTAGTGGTGTTCCACAGGGATCAGTCTTAGGACCTCCATTGTTTGTAGTACATATAAATGATCTGGAGGAAAATGTGAGTTGTCTGATTAGTAAGTTTGCAGATGACACAAAGATTGGTTGCTGATAGTGCTAACGATTGTGAAAGGATACGACAGGACACAGATAGATTGGTGACTTGGGCACAGAAATGGCAAATGGAGTTTAAACCAGATGAATGTGAGCTGATGCATTTTGGAGGATCAAATTTAGATATACTGTAAATGGCACAACCCTTAGGAACATTAACATACAGACGGATCTGGGCGTGCTGGTCCACTGTGCCCTAAAAGTGGCAACACAAGTGACCAAGGTGATTAAGAAGGCATATGGTAGTGTGCCTTCAGCAGCCAGGGCATGGAGTACAAGAGTTGGCAAACCATGTTGCAGCTATATAAAACCCTTGTTGGGCCGCATATGTGTGCGGTTTTGGTTCCACACTACCAGAAGGACATGGAACCTTTGGAGAGAATGCAGAGAAAGATGTTGCCAGGTTTTTGAGGGCATTGGCTATGAGGAAAGGTTAAAAAGACTGAGATTATTTTCACTGGAAAGGTGGCAGCTGAGAGGAGACCTGAATGAGGTCTAAAAAATTATGAGAGGCATAGATAGAGTGGATAGTCAGAGGTTTTTTCCTAGGGTTGAAGCTTCAATTACAGAGCGGGAACAGGTTCAAGATGGGGGGGGATTGTTTAAAGGAGATGTGCAAGAGAAGTTTTTCATGCAGAGAGTGGTAGGAGCCTGGAGCGCACTGCCAGAAGAGGTGGTGAAAGCAAGCACGTTGGTGATGTTTAAGAGGCATCTGGATGGTTACATGAATAGGGAGGGAATAAAGGGATATGGACAGAATAAGGGCAGAAGGTTTTTTTTTAGGTCAGTCAGGGCATGATGATCGGCACAGGCTTGAAGGGCCAAAGGGCCTGCTCCTGTGCTGAACTTCTCTTTTGTTCGTTTGTTCTAAAACAAAACGGTTCTGACAAAGAGTCACTGGACCCGAAACGTTAACTCTGCTTTCTCTCCACAGATGCTGCCAAACTTGCTGAGTTTTTCCAGCAATTTCTGTTTTTGTTTCTGAGATGCTGGAAGGGCCCCTGAGTTCAGGCAGCCTCTGTGGATACAGAAACAGCTGACTTCTCAAAATTGACGAAAGGATATTGACCTGAAATGATGGGTTGGATTTTTGAGCCCTCACTTAGCTAGGAATGGAGGTGGGCAGGAGTTACAAATAGCTCCAGCAGCCGTCATCCCCCACCTCTAGGTCATTTTTTTTGTTGTGGCAGCAAGTAGCCGACTTAGGGCCAGTTAAGGGAGGCTGGCTGGGGATTTTCCAATAGGCTTATATATTCCAGTGGGCAGCAGGGGCTGGATTAGGGGTTCAGTGAGTGGGTATGGGGTAGCAGTTGTCCAAGAGGTCCTCCCTCTTTCCTGGCTGTGAAAGCAGCTGCAGGCCCGTCTGTGAAGGTTACAGGAGCCAACTTTTCATTTAAGTTTCAAAAAGTAACACCCCGTTATCTGCCAGTGGATCCCTGTGCTCCTTTTACTCTGTATGACTCACCAGTTTCCAAAGCTGACCCACCACCCTCAATGGATAATGACTTCATCTCCAAACCAAATGTATAGCATACCTTCATGGAAACCACAATGAGTGACATTATCTTTATAGGTTTCTTATTATCCTTTTGTTTCCCGTCCCAGAACAAAAATCCCATTGTTCACTCTATTTTCCTTTTCCAATACTGCTACCTGAGCTGCTGAGTGTACCTGAATTACAGAGACCAGCAAGGTCGTAGGTTTCATTTCCAAGCCTGTACTATGTTTGTTGATCCCATTCAGTGTAGAGCAGGAGATTTGCTGCAACTCACCCCAGTCACGCTTGAGACAAAGGAGAGGGAAAGGGTGACTTGATTGAGGTGTAAAAGATCCTGAACCATCCTGAAAAAGTAGATATGGAAGGGATGTTTCCTCTTGAGAGTGAATCCAGAACTAGGGAGCACAGTTTTAAAATCAATGGGTTGCCCTTTTAGGACAGCGATGAGGGGGAATTTGTCTTCTCCGTGTGTTGTGTGACTTTGGAATTCTCTGGCTCAGAAGATGGTGGAAGTGGTGATTGAACACTTTTCAAGGCAGAGGTAGGTAGATTCTTGTTAGGCAGAGAGACCAAAGGTTGTCAGGGATAGATGGGAAAGTGAAATGTGGAATTTGGAATGCAAAAAGATCACCCATGACCTTATTGAATGGATAATCAAACTTCTGTTCTAATTTGGCATATTTGTAAGTAAATCATGTAGGACTCCTGCTCTTGATCTCAATTCAAACGAGTATCTCCTGGTGGGTGCTGTAGGTTGAGAACAGAGTTGGACTTAGCTGTGGTTACCACCCAAGGTCCAGTGGCTTGTGAGCAATCACCTTTTCAATCAAGCTTCACACATGAAGAATATCTGATCAGTTGAAAATACTGGCAGAACATCTCTGCCTCGTGAGCTGTAACCTTGCAGTGCTCAACAGTTTTGTGAGAGGAGGAGGAGGAAAATTTACAGGAATAAATAAAGTAAGCGCACCATCTGTTTGAAGAACTTTGAAATCTGTGATTCTTGTTCTTGTTTCATACAGTTCTCTGATGATGACAGCTTGGAAACACTGCATGTAAAACCCACAAAGTTCTGCTGTTTATGTCTGCAATGATAAAGCAGCAATGTGGACTATGTGGTATTTCCTTTACTTACCCAATCAATGAACATGCACTTATCTTCAGAGTAACTTCAACCAACAGTATCTATTTAACCTTTAACCTATGTGATGTTCTTGTAGTCTAATCATGCCTAATGATAATGTTAGTGAGATGTTGAAACAGACAACTTGAACTGGACTTTGTGCACAGAAACATTTTGTTACTTGCTCTGTAGTTTTGTTCAGCACCACAATTTGGACATATGGTTTCAGCATTTGTATACACTTTAAAGTTATTTTCTAGCGGTTTTGAATGTTTGAACAGGTGTCAGCCACTCAGCATGAGATTTTGATTGATTTATAGTTCAAATTTAGCACCCACTTGTAGTCAAAATTCCAGTGTTTTCACTGACAGCTAGCTTTACCAAACTGGCACTGTGATTGATAGATATGCATTGACACCCTTCCTTAATA